AAATCCTTTGCTTATCCTCAGAGCATCTACCACTGGGGAATGTTGCACAAGTGCCAGACACCAAATAAATGTCAATGACATATGTTGAATTTAAAGAAACATCAGGCAAATATAGAAGCTTTAATGAAGCTAGACTGTTGTACTTCCCCACCATGATCTTGAGAAGTAAAGGTATTGAAAAAAATCAGGTATCTTCAAGTTATGATAAATGATAAAAGTAGCTTTTAAAATCATTTCATTTCATATTCCAAATCATTACAAACTATTTAGATGGTCAGGTTCCAGAGATCACAAGAGGTGTGAATGCTAATATTGGAAAGAGGCGTCATCTTTGAGAGTGTCCAGTTAGTTAATCATGGCAAAAGGACTCCCAAAGTACAGTCAGTCTGCCTTGGCAACAAATCTGCCATTGTCAACCAATGCCTTCATCATGACTTTATAAGATAAAGCGTCAAGACACATAAACCTGAAGGAGACAGTGGATTCTTGTAGTAATCCAAATTCTCTAGTCACATAAATTAAAATATGACCTATATGAGTAGTCTGCCCATTCATTCTTTCAATAAATTATTACTGAGCACCTTTTATGTACCAAACATTAAGCTGGGGAATTGGGACACTCTGGTGAACAAGATAGTCTCTACTTCCATGGAAATTAGTAACGTAACAATATTCAGTTATGAGTGCTACAAAGGACAAGTATAAAATGAAACAGCACATATACCGGGGTGACCTGAGTTCATCTGGAAAGTTAGAGAATGCATACATGGAGATCTTAAGGCTGAGAAGGACTTGGCTAAGTGAGGCAGAGGAGGAGGGTACAGCTGGTGGTGCAGAGATTACTTAGTGTGTAAGGCCTTGGGATGGGAGGAGCAGTGTGTATTGGAGAACCTGAAGGCAGGCCTGTGTGATTGGGGTGCAGAGAGTGGGAGTAGCAGGAAATGAGACTGGTAAGGTAGATCAGGCCGCCCACATAAAAACACAATGGGGCTTTGTAAGGCTTGTTGGAATTCATGAAGTACGAAGGGCAGTCAGCCGCATTCCCCTAGAAGTCCCAGCTTCTAACCTGCTGGCTAATGCAAACATGCTGGCTAATTATGTGGGCTCATTTTTAGGAAGCACTCCCACATTTCACAGACCTAGATATGGAGTTTTTATTGTCCATCTGCAAATACTCACATTATACCACAATCTAATAGTAAGAAAAACCAGCCTGGCTGGTCAGTTGAATCAGGCAGGCAGAAGCTGAAAATGACACATCGCCACCACTGCACACAGCTTGAGAATTAAGCAATCATGAAATATCAGAGCCACCTGCTGCCACTGCCAGCCTCTTGGGCCCAATCTCAGGAAGGTAAAACCAGAAGACCAGGTATGTATATGTCTAGCATTCAATAAAACAAACCCCAAACACCTCATCTTGAAACCTCAAGCTTCTCTCTGTTTCTGCCTCCTTTGCAGTCAAAATGGATTTGTTCTCAACTGGAAAAAACAATGCTTCAACAAACACACCTTATTGGAGTGGGAAGATAATCACTCCATAATTTAAATAGGTATTTTTCACATAACTCTCAAATGCTTTAGATAATGAAACTTCTTTCACTGGTCAATATGGAGGCCTATTTTCACTTTAGATCTGAGGAAGAGTCAAGCTAAAAGGCAAGTTCAGTGTTAGATGCCCAATGGGGGAAGATCTGGCCCAGCTGCTGACACAAGGACAACTTTTGGAGCCTCATTTATTCATTCTTGAGGCTCCTCATAACCTAGTTAGAGTCACTGCTGGCACTGTTTCATGTTTAATGCTTAAATGAAGAGTCCTTCTTTTTCTCCTACATTATTTCTTCATGAAATATATTAAACTGGAGGTTAAGGATTCAGCTAGTATTGTGCTTAAGCTTAATTCAAACTGGTTACCTGCTAAAGCTGGAACCTGTTCCTGGGATAGTCCTTAATAGGAAGAGAAAACAATAATGTAAGACTGTACTCCTCCCTCTACTGCACTGCTCCACTTTCAAACATAGTTAAGACTGACATTCAACAGTAAAGGAACATAGAAGAAATTTGTTCTCAAAAAGTATTTTGACCTCCTTTCAAATTTATTCTATCCTTTCAGACAAATCAACTCACCAAGAATAATCCACTAGACATCACCCCGATTCTCATATTCTACCTCTCTGGACTTGAAAGGGTTTTTTTTTTTTTACCCCATGTGATATCACTAGAATTGTCACTTTGTGATTAGTCTTGCCCTATGTAAAAACAGGAATGCAGAATGGAAAAGTGATTATAAACACAGATGCTGAGGTCAGGCTTCCCTGGTGCCACCATTTACTAGATGTTTAATAGGCAAGCTTCTTTTCTACACCTCAGTTTACTCATGTGTAAAATGGAGATAATAGGTGAAGAGAAATGGGATGATATATGCAAAACTGCAACAAATAGGAAACCCTCAATAAATGGTAACTGGGATTCTTGTTCCCTTTCTGATGTTGCCTTTAAGGGGGAATATCCTACATTTACATAACAGGCAGAGTCCTGGAGCATATACTCTGTTTCCTAGAGTCACCCATAAGTCATATCTCTGTCCCAGAAGACTGTTTATATTAGGGAATCAGAGAGTATTTTGTAATGACTTTTTTTTTTTAAAGACAAAGTTAAGAGCCTTGAAATGAGACAAAGGAACAACAAGTACCAGAATTGCAAAGTTAACATTTTTTTATTGAACTGAAACTGGTGTAGAACAACAGGAGCTGCCACAGTTGCTATACTCGGTAACAACTGAAAAGCCCCTGTAACATTTTACCCTTTGGAGGCCTGACATGGTTTGGGTGAAAACAGCATATATATATATATGTGTGTATGTATATATATATATATATACACATATATATATATATATATATATATATATACACTTCAAAATCATTTGAAATGGGCCTCACATCTTTGTTCAATTTCCATGTTACAAAGAACATTGATAACACCTGTGACCTACATTTAGCAGTGTCGAGTTAGTATCTTTTCCCAAAAAATTCCTCTCAAAGTGCTGGCTATTGATTTTTCTCCACCCAGCACATATAAGAAAAGGATTTAGTAACACTTGGGCAAGTAATAAACTGTCTCCAAGAGTGGTAAAGGTATACCAAGCATACTGACTTGACACCCTGCAGGTGAACTGTTCACAGGGGTTCAGCCAAGTTGCAGAAGCAAAGAATGCACTGATGGAAAGGGTAAGGCACCCAGGTAGTGTCTGAGCTGACTGCCCATTTTTGTCTAATCTTCATCTCTACATCTTGCTTCCGACATGCAAGTGTGCATTTGTTTTGCATAAGGTAAATAAAATACTTTAAGGGAAAAGAAAATTCCTATAGAGGTTATAAAATCAATTGGAGAAAAAGGAAAATTAATACTGAATTTTTATAATTAATGGATGGAGTGATAATAAAAACTGATCACACCAACAACTTCTGTGCTAGCAACTACAAACCCTAAGTTGAGAGTTAATCCCTCGAAAATACTTCAAGGGAAATAATCAGCAAGATAGGAGATGAAATCTCCACATTATAAAAGTAGTTAATGTCCTTTCAGTTTGGTTTAAGTTAGGTACTCATTCAATATGAAGTTTATGGGCATTGCTAAAACTCTTCAAGTTCAAATTATTTTAGGTGAAATGTGACAAAAAATAATAGCACAACTAATTCTTTAATTTTGACAATGCTATTTTACATTTACTGTTCCTCAAAGCAAAAACAAAAGATGAAGTTCTTCCACCAGAGTAACTGGTACCAAGTGCTGCTCCTTTCTTTAGCAAGCATTCTCAGGATTTAAAAAATCTTAAAGTAGGGTATGAAAAAATGATTATAAATATTTTAATAGGCTCATGCCCATCTTCAAAGGGGATAGTAGTAGGGCAATAGTAGATTCAGAGACTTACAGCTTTCAATTTTGCAACTGATAAACATAAACATTTTGTAAGAATCTGTCCAATGTATACAATAACATCTAAATTAAGGCTTTCACTGGTGTGTGGTAAAGTCTATGGGTATGCAACGCTGGATTTCCATAAAGTATCTCCAGCTTCCATTGTTACCCAACCTGTAAACCAGAAGATGTACTGATGCAGGTGGGTAGGAGCTCCAAGGGGTAATGATTAACTAACTGGGAAGGCTAATTTGTAAACAGGTTCTGAAATGAGAGCTGGCAGTGAAACAACTGAGGAGGTACCTCAGATCATGCAGAGGGAAAAAGTGATTTGTACATGCTGATGGAGAATGGCTTAGGAAAAAAATGCCAATAGTTGACCTTTAGTTCAAGCTTTCAAAATTAAGTCTTAAAAGTTTTAGAACTCACCTAAGCCAATGGTTCTCAAACTTCGGCTTGTAAAAGTTACCTATAAGAAACTTGTGAAAACGCAAATACCTGGGCTCTACCCAGAGATTCTAATTTGGGTAATGTGAGTGGTTCAAGAACCTTGCTTTTGAGAAACATTGCTCATAACAAATAGCAGCACACAATCTTTGATTAAAAGGCCAAGACGTCCGAGAAATAATTGAGATCATTACCTATAGACAAATCCCTCAAAAGACTCTACCAGAACAATATGAGGACTAAATTTAGCCCCAAATAAGTTTCCTTTCCTTTCCTTTTCAACTGGAAGTTTTAAATAAATCAACATTTAATGATTGTACCAATTCTGAGGTAAAGGGAAGAGCACCAGGGATCTCAGGGTTAAAAGAAATAGAATTCCCTCGGAGGTCCATGCTACATACTAATTAAATTTCTGCAATAATATTTTAGAGTTGTAGTGTAAAGGCATCTTGTTTCAGTCTTTGTATAATATGTATATTTTTGTATACTTTTAATATATTTCTAATCTTTCCAGTAATGTTTTAGAAAGAACTCCGAAGAGGTAAGTTAATCTCCATATTCTGTCATTTTCCCTAGATACCAACATTTTCTGGTTTACAGTGATACACAACAAAGTTACTTATTTATTTTCTTGGATGCTGGAGACAAACATCTTTATTAAAGATACTACCAAAATTTTGGCAAACATTTTAAAACAGATTTGTAAACATAATGCTTCCCTTTTCAACTGGCAGCACTCTGAAAAGACAATATGATACGACAACACAACTTGAATCAAATGCCTTGTATTTTTGACCACATAACTTATGTTCCCACATGATAAAACAAGTGATAGTTTAAATCAAAGTCAACAGATAAACTCCATGAAATGAAAGTTTGTGCTGTTTGATGAATCACAGTATGTATGGTTAAATATATCCACTCTTTTTATATTCCTGGCATCCAGGATGAAAAAAAATCTTTAAATATACATTTCATGTAGGTAATAGCTTCTTTGCATATCTCTCTTCAAAAAATACTTTATAGCAGTATATAAATAGGTTACCTACACATTTAATTTTATAATTTCGCCCCAAAACTATAGATCTCTTTCATTTTTATAGCATATCAATTTTTGCCCAACATTAATAAAGCTGACAAACTGTTGAAATGGAAATGCTTTTGTCTTCCACAATAGAAGTAGCAATTTGACAGGAAAAAAAAAAAAAAAACAAAAAAACCCAAACAAACCTACAGTAACACTCATCAGTTGTTTAACCTGAGCGTTTGGCCTACTGAGAGTAGCAGCTTTTTTCCTCCACGCACGCTCACATCCATGTCACCTCTGCACACATACAGGTAGAGCACACGCTTTCAGACGCTGGTAGGCCACAGTGTGCTTCCCATTGCTTTAATCACTGGGAAGCTGTGTAGCTAATTAACCACACTATGCACACAACTAGCAAACACCTTAAGGCAATCATTGCAGTGGGGGTTAACTTGCAGAGCAGATTTAATATTCTAGATCAAATCAGCCTTTATATACATATGTGTATAAAATCTATACACATACTCACACAACTTGCTATACTTTAACCCTCCAAAACAATGTTTTAATTTTTTTTGTATTTTGTGCAAATATCTAAATATTCTACCATTTAAGGCAAAGAGTTCGCATTAAGAAAAGTCAGAAAATAGGCTTATGTTTATCCAAAAGCATTTCACTTGCACATTACTGTTTTTTTTTTTAAATACACGCAACTTTTGTATGGACATTGGATCCCCAATATCTAAAAAATCATTTCTAATGACAAACACAAGTTTTCAAGGAAAAAAATTGATTTGAAGTATAGACATTGGATCCCCAATGTCTAATAAAAGGTTTCTATTAACAAACACAAGTCTTGAAAGAGGAAAAAAAGGACCAGAAAAAAACAGCTTCAAAATGCAGGGAAGCAAAGTAAAATGAAAAAAAAAAAAAAAAGTAACTCAAGTTTACTAATACTGAAACTTCTCACAGGCAAAGTTTCATCTTTTTAGAATCTAGAGCAACTCATTTGGAATTTTAAATAAATAAGCTTAAGTTTATTCACATCTTCTGGTCTAAGCAGAGTTCTAGTGCCATGACTCTGCTTGCTGTTGGTCAAATTCACCTATTAGTCTTTTGATGTGAGCCAGCTTGTTATGAAGATACTCGCATCTGTATTTCTCTTCATGGTAATTGGGACTAGACTGCAGATGAAAGAAATAATGAGGAGTTAGGTTGCAGAATTCTTTCCTAACATTTCTCAAAAACAGGCCAGAAAACAAATAGTCATAGTACCTTACCTGCTTGATCTTCTGATATTCTTGTAAGACTTCTGCATGAACATTCTACAAAAGTAAAAATTAGACATCAGAAAAGAATAACTTTTTGGCAATATAATAGCTAACATGCATTTGGCAAGGTGTAGGAAATATTGATGGTGAGACTATAACTTGGTACAATCTTTTTTTTGGTGGTACTGAGATTTTGAATTCAGGGCCTCATGGTTGCTAAGCAGGACCCTATCACTTGAGCCACTCATGCCACTCCTTTATTATTGCTTTAGCTATTTTTCAGATAGGATCTTGGACCTTTTCCCCAGGGCTGGCCTTGGTCCATGTTCTTTCTACCTAAGCCTCCTCTGTAGCTGGGATTATAGAAGTATGTTACCACGCCTGCACTGGTTTTAAACACAAAACGAAACAAAAACATTTTTATTAGCAAAAACTAACTGTACAAAGGGGTTTCATTGTGATATTTACAGGTTGCATATCATGTACTTTGATCATATTTATCCCATGTATGTTACTCTTTCTTAGCTACCCTCCCTCCTCCTTTTTAACAGTTTTGGTGGGTTTCATTGTACTATTTATATATATATATATATATATAATGTACTTCTGTAATATTCAGCCCCTCCCTCCTCCACCTTGTTGAGATGGGGTCTCACTAACTTTTTAGGGTTCAAACTGTGATCTTCTCAACCTCCACCTCTCAAGTAAATGGGATTATAGGCATGCACTACCATGCCTGGCCCAGTTCAATCTTTATGAAAGGCAATTTGGCAAGAGCTATTGAAATAGCAAGTGGAAAACAAACTCAGTGATTCTACGTATACTACACATCTACTTGCCCCTGAGTAAGATGACATACACAGAAGGTTATTCACTGCAGCACTGCAAAGCAAAAGACGGTAAGCTATATCAAAACGTCCATCAAACTACACAATGGATATTAAGAGGACATTAAAAATGAGGAAGCTCTTTCTGTACTGATATAGAATGTTGTTTAGTAAAAAAAGATAATGTAAAACAATAAGGACAGCTTGATACCATTTATTTAAAGAGGTAGATTATTATTATATTCTAATAATTTTATTACTTTTAAGATGTACATTTTTTCTAGCTCTAACAAAACCAGGATAACCAACAATGGATCATGAGTTAATTTACTGGGATACAGCATAATAATGCCTCTTACAATGAAAGAAAATGTAGACTCAATTAATGTACATATGTGAATTTACTTGTATGTATACATTTACATTGTAAACACATATATATAATACATACTTCTGAAAGAGTACATGGACAACCAGTAGTAATGATATCCACTAGAGGGGAAATCAGGTAGCTGGGGGAAAATAGCTAGTTAGCCCTCCTGTACCATGTACCAAGCATGGATCTGAGCAGTTTACAAATGCCTCCCTACAGCCCTACATTTATTAGTCACAATTCTATGATGACCCTATTTTGTGGATGGGGAATTTGAGGGAAAATGGCATTAAGTAACTTGCCAAGGTCACGCAAGTATTAAATGACAGAGCTGGGAATCTAGAGCTCCAGAGCCCACTCCTAACCACTAAGCAATCAGTTTAAATATAATCATGTAAACTAATAAATAAATGTATAGGAAAGCATAAGCCCCAAACTACTACATCAACAACTTCTTGTACTCCTAAATACCTCTGGCAAAGTCTTTAACTCTCACCAGCTTATTGAAGAGGTAAAGGCCTGCTAATATGAGACATAAGGAATCTCTAGGACATAAATGCTCTTGGGCTATTTTTCCTATTGTGGGGAAACTCATTCATTCTCTCACGGATGTTCCAGTCAGGACAAGGGGAGTGGGTTAGTGGGTTGGGTCACAGGTACCATAACCACCTATGGCTGTGAAGTATGCCCAAGTTATTTGGCCTATGCAAAGATGGAATAGAAATACAAATTTCTATCATGTTTTTGCTAAGAGCTATGAAAAAAATCAGGAGGCAGGTGAAGAATCTACTGTTCTCTGTTGGTTGTAGCAATATTACCACACAGGGTGAAAAAGTAAAAATAGACTAATGGGGGTTAATAAGTGTCAGTCTTTGGAATGGCTAGAAGCACCAAACTTCTTACTGGAGCCCAAACCTCTGTAGTATTATGTCCCCTTTCTATCCCATGTCTACAATGTCCCTTCGAGGTCTATAACCTAATTCGGAGTTTATATAAATAATAATTAAAAGACTTACTTGAAATAGCTCAGTTTGGGGGGAAAGTCTATAGTTTGAGATGAGCAGGCAGCATAATCAAATATTTAAATGAATCCAAGATCTAACTTTTTCTCTATTTATTTTGTGTTTGATATTTTTCTCAATACATGATATAGTGGCAGAAAGTTTCTTCTATACAGTTTATTTAATTTCAAGAACTAATTCAAATATTAAGTTTCCTAAAGCAACAGAGAAGCAGGTCTGCAAGTGGGGTTGCTCTAACAGTCAGGCTGGGGTTGTTGGGGCAGGGAAATAAAGAAGGTAAAATATGAAAGTCAGTCTATCCAGGAACAAATCTATTTACCTGATACTCTTTTGAGCCTGGAGAAAGGCGTTTTCTTTGTGCATCCAATTTGATAAATCTTCTGGCTACAGTCTCCATCCTGGCATGCAAAGCCCTGTACTCATCATACTCAGCATTGAAGTCATCCTTGTAATTCTGGCGCTGCTCATAGGAGACGATTGCAATATATTTTCTAATAAGAAAAAAAGGTAAATGAAGAGCAGCTGCAGAATAAATATGATAGCAAGAGTCTGAGATTGAAACCACTTAGAAACTATCCTCACATGTACTGCTAGTATTTAATGCCCCTCCACTACTGGTTTGCTCCCAGGTCACTCCTTCATAGGACCTTCCAGGTGAAATGGTCATACAGGGAGGCTTAAGAACATTCATGAAGGAGAACAAATGTGAAAAAAAACGTGGTAGCAGTGGAATGAAAATGCAATGTCAAAAGAAAACAGAATTTACTCTATCCAAAATAATTCATTACAACACTAATTACCACAGAGGCCAACCCATCTGTTAAAGTTATCAAGACAGAAGGACTTGATTGGTAATGTGACACAAGGAGAATGCCATGCAGTCATTAAGTGAAGTCAAAGCTGTCCCCGCATCCACTGCTTTATGGGGTGGTATCTGTCATTCACCTTTCAGACCTGTGACATGCAGAAATCAACAATGTGCCTCTGCCCTGCTCCCTCTATTGTTTTTCTCACATTTTTTTAACTAGACAAAAGGGAATTGTTTATAATTTTTTAGAGTGAGAGACAAAAAAAAAAACCCAATTATTTTCCTTTCTCTTCTCTCCCCTCTGTCTCTTTCTCACTGTACTGGGGCTTGAACTCAGGGCCTTGTGCTTGCCAGGTAGGCACTCTACCACGAGCCACAGTCCCAGCCATTTTTGGGAGAGTCTCTTTTTTTACCCAGACTGTTCTGGACCTTGATCCTATTCATGTTTCCCATGTAGCTGAGATGACAGGTGTGTACCACCATGCTCAGTTATTGGCTGGGATGGGGTTGCCCAGGCTGACCTTAAATGGTAATCCTACCATTCCACCTCCTGCTCGCTAGAATTACAGGTATGAGCCACTAAGCCCAGCTTTTTTTAGTTTTTTTTTTTTAAACACTTAATATGTCATACAATATGCAACAGACAACTAGTTTTGTCCTATAAATTTTACTTCTTTAATAAAATGCCACAAATCTGTGTTTTCCTTTGGGATGTGAATACTCCTTGGGACATGATAAATGAAAACCACCTTCCAAGTATGTCATTTTATCCAGTGGCAAGTAAGTTAAAACAGCATTTTAATATTAAAACAAACAATATTATTTGTTTATGAACATGGGAGCTGGGATCAGGTTTGGTTCTCTGCACTCTGTGCTTCTGTCATGGAACGCCAAAAATCCCTTGATTATTTGAGATAAAAACTGAGATTTCAGGCAGGCGGTGGGAGCTTCAGGATGCACCCTGGATGTATACATTTATTCTGCACTGTGGCAGCATCTCGGAGTTTAGTCTTCTCCAAATGGTTTTATACAATTTTACCAGTTTTATTTAAGTTGCTATATCACAGATGCCTCACTGGAAATGTGAGAAAAGTGATGCAGTGAGCAAACTTAGTGTCCTCATTAATATTTTTATTTGAGCTGAGTTAGACAGTGTGGAGGTCTAAGTGTAATTGAGACAGCAGTAGTATGCTGATTTAGAGCTACCCTGCTGGTGTCTCAGTTGTATAAGGCACACTGCCAGCCAAGCAGGGAAGCAAGCAATGCTCTCTAAACACGGCTGTCTTCACTGCACACCAGAGAGCCCAGAGGGAGGAAGAAGTTACTGGGGATAAGCACAGATAAGCAAAATGTTGTGTAATATATTTATATCACTTTCTCAAAATCACACCTTTAGTATTTTATATAATAATTTCCTTGAAGAAAAACAAGAAACTGGTCGGCAATTGTATTGCTGTCTGATTATACTGTCATTTCACTATTTTCTTTTTTTTTAACAAAAATGGTTTTATAAGTCGGTTCTTAAAGCAGTGATAGAATAAAAATTCCTACAATTTGAATAATTCACACCCACAAGCAATGAAGAGTCTTATTGTATAAACACCTGCAATATTGTGGTTAAGTAGGAATTATTCGAAGGCTAATCATTTAGGCTTTATTGTACTGTTTTTCTTATGAAAAGACAGTTACCTCTCTTAGGAGGTAACTTACGTTCTGTATTTTTAATCATTTTCTCTTTTTTTAGAAAATTTGTTGTATTTCTATAAAATTTAGTTTTTGGTAAATAAATAGCTTTTATTTAAATAAATTAAGCACACAACCACAGTCCTAGAAACATAACACACAAAATTGCACTGAGACAGATGCAGCAACAGCCTTAGACCAGTAACCTAAAAAAAAAAAACCTTTTAAATATAGAATTAGCTAATTAGGTTGGCAAAACACAGCAACAGCCTTGAATCCATGGGGAAAAGTGTAGATGATTTTTTAGTCTCTTCACATGATTTTATTTTATATATATATATACATATGAGGAATTCTAAATCCTTCACAAGAGAATGAGCAGCAACTTGATGGCTGTGACTTGAGGGGCTGACTTGGAGGAGTGGGAACGTGACAGAGGTGACCTCTCAGCAATAGAGCCAGGGGTTGTCTTGGAAGCTTGGCTGCAGACTTCTGGCCCTTCCTGGGTCCCTTGAAAATAGCTGCTCTTCAAGGCTCCCCCCGACAGAACTCTATACCCATACACTACCTCAGATAGCAGAGTACTTAGTATCATTTCTCCAGGTCCTGTTAGTTAAGAAATGATAACTAGCATTATACTTGCGTGCTGTCTCATTCCCCAAGAACTACAGTTGTCACACTATTGTTGAGGCATAGATTTTAAATTTAAGATGTCTTGTACTCTGGAGAAAACAAGGCTAAGAGCATAGCTCAACTTTGCCCATTATTAGATGCCATTTAATAGAGAAAACATGCTGATACAGCACAGTCTTAATTTTTGACCTACATTCCAGCTATTTTGCACATTCGTTCATTTTCAAAACTATCTGCTGTCATATCAGTCTGTTCTTTCATTCTCCATTTTCTAAGCTCTGGCCACTTAATTATTATCTTCTTACAAAAGCCTTTTATTCTGTAAAAAAAAGCTAGAATTATGTCTCCAAGTTATAATTTCTGTGATAACCAGTTACAAAAATGTCCTCAGCTCAGTGTTTAGCAACTTGTTGTCATGCAAGAAAAACATTATAACTGACTAAAGTGAAATTATCAAATTTTACATTCTCTCCTCTTAAAATTAGTTTGCGGGCAGACCTTTATTTAAATAAAAACCAACCCATCTCTAGTCTGTATTATTAATGCAGAGGTTCAAGCACTTTGTCAGTAGTAAACCATCGCTTTTGGGGGCCCAAGTGAATGGCTGTGCATTGATAGACTGTCAGCTTTGAAGAGTCAGATCCCTGAAATCTTCCATAATCAAATGCTTGGCCTGGCTCTGGAACAAAGGACAGGCTTCTCTGTACTTAAAGGCCAATGAACACAGTTCAGAGCAGGGGGAGGCACAACCTGCTCATGCAGACAAGGGTGGATTTGGGATAGCAGGCTTAATGGCAGCCTTTCAATTGTAGGGGTGGTTCCAGGACTCTTTCTGGAATTTCATACTTTTTTGATTTGCAAATTATGGGAAAAGAATTTGCAAACTTTCTAAAATTAAACCGATCTCTCCAGGCAGACAGATAAACTTACATCAAATAATCTGGGAGTTCAATTGTTGAAGAAGGCTCCATGGAGGCAGTACAATCCTCTTTAACTTCTATGAAGGAAAAAAAAATCAGAGCGTTCATTAACTAGTATGGTTATCAAATATCTGTAATTCCAAACTAGATTAGAAACATCTGGAATACTTTTCCTCAAATTCTATTATTCCATCTCAATAAGCAACAGCGAGCAAGGAATACAATTGAACACAAACAATAGAGGTCCTATGACCAGCGCCAGCAGAACTGAGACCAGGCATTTAAAGTACCCTGGCTACTGCAGTGTCTGCACAATAAAGGAATTCCATCTTAACTCAAGGTCAGTCTTCTATTCTTTCAACAACAGTTGTGGCATCTGCCCAGCAATTCAAGACTGTGGTGGCAGATGCAGCCAGACAATGGGAAATACAAATTTTACATCAACATCTACTTTTCATGGGATTCAAACAAGGCAGAAAAACAATAAAATCAGGTAGCAGAATGCTTTGGCCACTATATTTTTATTGCCATCCTTTTTGCATGCAGACAGTGGAATTGGGTAGGATGTTTTCCTATTGTTTAAAATAAGATATTATTGAATATTGATTTATACTCTTCTAATCTCTAGTCTTCATAATACTAAACAGTCTTTTTAAATACAAAAGTTCCAGTCACCTATAAATGTGCTGACAAAGTATTCTCAGTATTCTATTTGTTTAAATGTACCATTTTCAGAAACTGTTTTTGTTATTATTATTTTTTTAATCATTCAAAACTCAGTTAACTTAAACCTTGATTTGTCTGGTGCAAATATCTGTGAATATCTGACAATTTCTCAGTCTTATATTTTAAAAGACAAAGTACATTAAATAAATTACATAGACTTGCTGGGCTTATTGTTTACCTATATATATTTGATTCAGGTTTGGGCACAGGAACATGCTTTTATAACAGCCTGAATCTTCAAGGGAAAGCATCGAGTACAGGACACTTTTCCTTTGCCACAGATACCAGAAAAGTTCCAACAGAAACAGAGGATGTGGGTGTAAGGAAAGATTTTTTTGGTGGGACTGGAGTTTGAACTCAGGGCTTTGAGCCTGCAAAGCAGGCCACTTGAGCCACACCTCCAGTCTAAGAATGTGGATCTAAATCTGTCCATGGTTTGTACTGATCCTACTTGGTTCTGAAGGGTTTTCCTGTATACCCTCTGGGAAGGATTCCAAAAGACAAGGCCTGTTTCTCCAGGTCTACAACTCTGAGAACACTCAAAACTCTGCTATAGGTCTCAACATACTGGAATCTAGTCTTTCTGGCACTCTGCTCTGACTCAGGATCACCCCTGAGGGTAGATAGCAGAGGATGCCTGAGAACCTGGGTTATTAAAACCCTGAATCACGGCTTTTCTTGACCTGACAAATTCAAATATGGAAGTGTTGAAGGGAAAAAAAGCTTGCACATGGGCCTTTATATAGTATTACACTGATCTGTATATCAACAAGATATGCTTTGACATGCGATATGACCAATCCAGGTCATCAAAGACACTGTGTCATACTATTCTACAATTCCTTCTTTGGAAGTAGCAGTAAAAGAAAACAATCAGAGCTTCTCACATATGGCAAAGGTGGTCAGTTAAATCTAAGGATTTCAGGCTTTCAGTGTTATGGACAAAATACAGAATAACAATTCATGTTAGTTTATTAAAACTGTTTACTAAAACAGGACCTCAAAATTACAAAACAAAGCAAAGCATACCTTAAGCTCTTATCAAGCTAATAATAGCCAACAGCCTTGCAAAAGCCAGATTGCTTTCAGTGCAAATGAAGATGATGTTATGGATCTGCAAATGTGATTTTACCCTGCCTATTTTATAAAGAACTTGACATTTCCCCTGTGCTAGTTTTAATTAAAGCAGGGGAGCCCATGTTTCTTTGAGAAAGGAGGAAATGAGTATTTTTATTGCTAATTGTGTTCCTGGTTAATTCAGTTCAAGAATACCACATAACAGTCACACTGAAGCTGTACACTAGCACAGAGATAAGGAAAAGAGCATCAAAGCCCACCTCTAAAAGGGTCATTTTCAAATAACATTATCTATTAATAAATATAGAAATCATGCTTAGAAGTTGCTAAAGAGACTGAAACAACCGCTGTAAAATGAAAGAAAAAAATCTGCTCAAAAGTGCAGTACAAGATTAATAATTAAATAGAAGATCATTTGCTTTAAAAGTATTATTAATTATAAGCAGCAGCACCTAAAACTAGTTGTTTTTACAAATGTAAAATACCTTCATTGGAATTTGGACTGGAGTTATTTAGTTTGGCAATTTCCTCTCTTTGAAGGTCTTCTTCTTTTTCCTCAATAGTTTCAATATCATGCTTTTTTATTTGGTCCTTTTCCTTGTGTTTTTTAGACTTCTTTTTGGACTTCTTATGAGACATTGAATGGTTTTCTTCCATAGGCTTTGGACATTTTAGTAGAACTGAACCAGGGGGTAATGTTTCCAGAGAAGTCCTAGAGGTATATTTGTCTTGCTGGTCCTCATAGATGCTACCATTTTGACTGAAACTGTCAACAGGTAGGTCTTGAGTCCCCCGGCCTTCTGGAGTGCTAGGGGAGTTGGAGTTGGAATTTACAGTCTGCGGAGGATTGGAGACAGGCAGGTGGGTTGAAGGCAGTGGTGGGGGGGTGGAGATAGCAGCAGCTGCAGGGGGCGGCGGGAGGCCTGCAGCAGATTTGTCACTGGTGGAATTCAAATGACCATTTAATGTCGGCGGTACTCTATTTGTAAGGTGAGATATTCGAGCTTTTTTATTCATTAAAGGATCAATGAAATCTGAATCCAATGGCCGTTTCTGAGAAGGCAGTGGGGAAAAATGAGCAGGTTTGCACCAAAATTTGATAATCTGAATACATGAATACTGGTTAAACAACTGAGTATGCTTACTCATACTAAACTTTCTCCAAGCTTAAGCAGAAGCTAACCACCACCCCCAAAGAGAAAACTATAATCCCAAACCAAAACAAAACAACAAAAGAAACCAAAGCAAAATGAATTTTAATGTCTGATGCCAAAGGCAGAACCTGGCAAATAAATATTTCTTGGAGCGCTTACTCAATTCTTTCTGATCTTACAGCCTAACCCTAAAGTTCCTAGGGACTATGCTGATTTATGTGCATTAGAACTCTCAGGAGATGATAAATAGAAGCAGCTGCCTTCCACTGCTGGCCATGACTGGCTCAGTTGTATTAAATGAGAAGAGAAAGCAATTTGTCTAACATTTGATTCTGTGAGCATTGATAAGGCTAGGTAAACGACACTGTGCCTAGATTTGTTTAATCTCTAATGTGTTAAAATGCTCCACTTGTGAATATTTTGGTTGTCATTTGTCATTTCAATTGTGTTAGAGTGGACCAGCCAGCAATTTAAGAGTAATTCCTCTTAAGTATCTCTATCACTGTTGAAATGCTATTTAATTTTTTTTACCCTTTCATCTCTATTCATAAAACTGTAAACTAAGCCTTCATAATTGGTTCAAAGTGATGTAGAAGTACTTTTTAAGAAGTCAGTAACAATAATAGTATTTAAGTTAAAAAAGAAATTCAACATTGAAAAAATATGAAACATAAGTCCATATTTATGTTTAAATGTAATGCTGTGGCTTGTATTTTTGTTAGAAAGAAAATACTAACCAACTCACTGATGTATTGTTTTCAAGTGAGCACCATTTACTTGGCAGCTGAAATGTAGTTTGATCAAACTAGAAGTAACATCATAGTAGTTGGCATTAAAAGCGAGGCTTCCAAAGACAATGGACAAGCAAGAATAAAATTGCCTTTTTTTCCCCTCCCACTGAATATTCCTCACAATAGGTTTCTAACATTTTCTGACATGTTAATAGTCTTTTACTCAGGGCATGCTCTCCACACATCTGTTTGTTTCTGCTTAATTCTTAGAAGTAGTGCCAAGAAAGAGAGAAAGAAAAAAAGAAACACTATCACCAGTATTGGGTGAGTGGGGAGGTCTCTCCCACAGTTTGTCCAAAGTACTCAGGACACTGAAACTCTCTCACTCTCTTGGGAGAGTTTCAGGACTGGCCAGTCAGTTGAGAACCAGCAAGCTTGAACTCTAGCACTGCCCAGGACTTCCCCATTGTTTTTTTTCGAGGATGGGCTAAATCTTTCAGGGGAAAGTTTAAGCTGGAAGAGAGTCTGATTGGCAGTATTCTGATTAGGATCAAATTGAAAAGTGGTATAAGAAAACATTTGAAAATGCCATTTTTTTGTTTTGTTATTTTACTTATTGCAAAAACATTTTCCCAAAGAATATTCTAGAACATGTTTCAGACAAAATCAAGTATCATCAATTTTCCATATAAACTGAAAACTGTATAGGACTGGATGTGTCTTCTAGTTAGTAACCAAATTGAAAAGTAGACAATCTTACAATAAAATGTAGGCTTTGCCATGAGTTAGTTGTGTTGTGTTTGGCAAGCTGCAAAGCTTCCTGGGCCTCATTTCTCTTACTTATGAATCAGAGGACCTGACTAGCAGGCTCCTGAGGTCTATGGTTTTGTAACTTTATGACATACCTGAGGAGATGGCGCAGTGTCTCTGCTAGAACAGATGGGAGATTCTGAATGGCTGGTGCCAGCAGCATTCTGAGGCGTATTCAGCTTTCTGTAAGGAACACACATGCTCCAGGCATTAAAGACAACTTTAAAATGTTTATAATAGTAAGTTTACCTTTGTTTCTCCATCTCAACTCCATAGAAAAATAACAATGACTAAAATGAATTCTTATTTGCATCATTTTTAAAGACAAAAAGGAAGAACTTACCTGGAGAGCACTGACTCCAATGACCGTCTGTCTGTTTCATTGTATCCTGGCCAATCTCGTTGAAGCTCCTTAAACACATAATCCTTTAAAGTATAGGAGAGGTCCCTAGGATTCAGATTGGCTACCTAGTACATGGTGTAAAAACAGAGCATGAAATATTTTTGCTAATTATCTAGAATAGGTGATCTTTAAGAGTCATACCAAAAATAATGACACCAATCGGCCCCAAAAGGACAGGTAATTTTGAATATGCCAGAAATAAATGCCATTCAACTTCATTTGGGGAAGTTAGAAAACAGAATTAAAACTTTATATGCAGAGATGTATGTTGTTTCCCTGGATGGCCACATGGCATTTGTCATACTTCTAATCAAATAATAAGTCCACATTAGGAAAAAAATGGAGGAAGGTGTTTTTTTCAAAATGATTTTTTTCTAATCAAAGGAATGTAAACAGTTATATATCAACATCATTATTTCTTATCACTAACTCTAATAATTTTGAGTAATGAAATCTGTTGGTCACTTAAGGTCACTTGATATTAAGTAGAAAACAGTACTCAAATGTTGTTTTACAAACTTTACAGTCATCAAAAGAAACCATCTTTATAAATAATAACCTTTATATTTTGTCTTTTTTTTTGATAATCAAACTTTCTCCTTGCATCTGCCAATTTTCCTGAAGAACCACTTATTCAAAGTTTTTGTAATTTCCCCAAACCAATAAATGGAATCATAAACTAAAGGAGACCCCAAATAACTGTTATTAGCCAGATGGTTTATTCTTATGTGTAATCTTCCCCTATCCCTTAACTGTAATTCCTAGTGTACACACCTATAATCCATTAAATACACAAATCTCTGTGTTCAGGTCCTAAACCAAAAGGAATTTTTAAGGCTAGGAAAAAAAAGGTATTCTTGCCTGTCACTTACTTTTGAAATTGGTGTTTTTAATAACTTTACTTCTGACTGTGTCTTTTAAAAGTACTGTCAAATGTAATGTAATAGTTTTGGCTTCTCTCACAACTCAATTGATACTAATTTAATGTTTTGCAGTAAACTTAAAATTCAAATTTACAAATAAAGGAATATAGGATATAATCAGATTTGTTTTGAAGGGAATAAATACAACAACCCTTTGATTTTTTTTTTTTTAATTATTCCTGGCACTACACATACTACCCATCCTACCTCCATGGCAGTCCCTTTGTAGGTTTCAGTATGAGGACAGCTTCCTGGTTTCCTCTTCCTCCCTCAGGACCTTTCTTTCCCTTCTTCCTTCCCTCCCTTCCTCCCTTCCATCTTCCTTTGCCTTCCTGTCTCTTTTTGTTCTTTCTCTTTCTCTGTCTCTGTTTCTCTCTCTCCCCCTCTCTCCCTCCCCTTCCTTCCTTTCTGGCGGCACTGAGGTTAAACTCAGAACCTTGTGCTTGCTAGGCTGGCTCTTCACGACTCAAGCCATGTCCTTAGCCCTTTTTTGCTTCAGTTATTTTTTCAGGTAGGGTCTCATATTTTTGCCTGGGGCTGGCCTCTGACTGTGATGCAAGTTATGGCCTCCCACAAAGCTGGGACCACAGGCATGAACCACCACTCCTGTCTTATTGTTTGAGATGAGCTCTTGCTAACTTTTTTCCTGGGCCAGCTTTGAACCCATCCTCTTGATCTCTACCTTTGGAGTCGCTGGGATTACAGGCATAAGCCACAAAATTCAGCTAAAAATTATTTTTGATCTGCTCTTGGTTGAACCTGTAGATGTGGTACTGGTGGATTTTGTTCTAAGAAACTGAACTGAATGAATGAATGTGGCTCATGAATCAAATATCCAAATGCCAGTTTTATGTGTTTTTCTGATTTTTAAAATTTATTTTTTTCCAGGAAAAGTCATTCTAAGAAAAAAAGAAGCTTTATAAAAACATATAAGTTTAGTAATAAACAGTATTAAATCAAATTTCCTGGTGGATGTTAAGCATTTTAAAATTTAGGCATAATCTTTCAAATTGTACTAGGAAATATCATCCAGTTTACTTCAGAAACCTATTTAATGAATGAATTACAATTGTAGAGTACTGAAAGCTACTATATTAGCAACAAATCAGTAAATATCTCTATTGGCACAGGCAAAGCAGGATTGACCATTTTAGCCAACACTGTAGCCAACAACTTTGTATGGGACCAAATAACCAATTTTGGAATGACTTGTTATTTTACATTTTGCTGTTCTCTTCTCCTCTGTCCTTTCAAGTATACTTTTGGTCCATTTCACTGAAGCACAGTCATTTTATGTTTGCTGTTAGAAATGGATAACTGATTTAAGTCAAAGTCCTCAATATATGCCTTTGTTATCTCCTTTGTGAGGATTAAGTGAGATCATGTATACGAAATGTCTAGCATTGTGCCTGGCACATACTTCATCTCAAGCAGTAGATGTTACTAGCCCCCATATCTGTATTTTCACTAAGCTTGGGGTAGAGTTCTGGCACTGGCATATTTAAAAAACTTCTATGGGTATTCTAATATGCAGCCAAGATGAGAGTATAATCTAGTTTCTTCCAAAGAATCTACACTAATAACTCTCATTGTGTACTTGCTCAGGGGTCAAGCACATCAACATTTTTTAGGTAAGTCTAGCTATACACACACACACACACACACACCCGCAAACACATGTACAATCAGGTAACTACTGACATGTATCAGTAGCGGCCTCTTTGAGAACTGTCTCTGCTGGCACTTTGCCCTCTCCATCTTCTAACCCAGAATATAATTCACAACCTTTCTGGAGATATCATTACCAAATATTTTGTGATATGTAACCTGACTTTCCTCACTTCCCCAAATACACATTCACACCCTCATATTCATTTTTTTCTCTCATTCTTTCTCTTGAGCTCTTAAAACTGCTATGTGACATATGGATTTAAAGTGTTTTCAAAGGTGTTCAGTGGATTTAATAAAGTTCCTTGAGACTGACCAAGGTATCTAGGGACTGACCAATCCCAACATGCAGACGATGATTTCATTCTTTCATAACATTTCGTATTATGCTTTGAATGTAAAGAAATAATTAATGAAAAGACTTAAAAGTGTTATTTTTTGACTAACAGATTGAAACATAGCTTTTTTTGTTTTAAAAGTGATGAAACTTAAGAACTTTAGAGATGTTATTGCTTAAAAAAAATAAAAAGTTGGACACCAATTCATGGTGAATCTGAATGCTAGCTAACCAACATTTATGACCTGAAGGAAGTATGAAAAACATAGGAAGTGAAAGTTTGACAAACTATTGTCTTTAATGAAAATAATGGCCTGCTTTTATACTGAAGCTTGTGATTACAAGGTAATTGGTCACAGCTAATGTTTTTATACATTCATATCCTTTAATGTAGATCTTGGTACTCCCAGTGGCAGAAAAAAGCAGGGTAATAAGGGCTTCAAGGAGTATGGAAGGCAAGAAACATTCTGAACTATTTAGTAGGCAAAAATACCCTAACATGTGCCAATCTACGACCCATAGAATACATTACACAACTTTACCTATAAAAGTCAATGAAAAGTAAGGCAATAGTTTAGATGACTCAAGACTAAGCAGACGGAACTACTGGTTTCTGGGCTCCTCTGAAGTGCTCTAGCTGTAGCCTTTCCTTTCTCTCTAATAAATCCCACATCTTACTTAAAAAAAAAAAAAGACTAAGCAGACAACAAAAACAACTTGGTTTTTTTTTTTTTTTTTTTTTTGGTACTGGGCATTAAACTCAGTGCCCTGAGTTTGCTAGGGAGGCACTCTACTACCTGGGCCGTGTCCCTGGTCCTTTTTGCTTTAGTTAATTTTGAAATAGGGTCTTGCTTTATGCTGAGTCAACCTGTAGTGAGATCCTATTTGTACTTCCCCATGTAGCTGGTGCATGCCACGGTGCTCAGCCATTGGTTGAGATGTGGTCTGCGTTGGAACAGCAGTCCTCCCCATCTCCCATCTCCTTCCAAATAGCTAGGATTACAGACTTGAGCCACCACAACTGGCCTTGCTTACTACCTAATGGAATTTTGGGGCGAAATTTGTTTAACCCAAATGAAGACAACGTCCACATTTCAACTGGCTTTTAATTAAATGTTTAAAAAGATGATTTAACTTAATATTTGACAGTTATATTTCATACATGATTGATCAAGATGATGCTCTAACTCAGTAATACAGATAACAATAAGCCTTCTCAAGTGAGCTTCTTAACATGAAAGTAAGCAGAAGGTCCTCACCTGTTGCAGAATTGCTCCCAGGGAGTTCTTGTCTTTTTGATTGACACCATCTTTCTGCAGTCGAGCAAGCAGCTCAGGTTTCTTGTAGGCCTTTAGCGCCAGTAAGTGAATCACCCTGTCCCTATATGGCCGCTGAGATACACTGTTGCTGCCATGTGTCTTTCGAATTGTATTTGCAGGGTTCATAGGGGTTGACCTTTTCCTCTCAGGCACTGCATCTGAGACAGCTTGAGGTGCTTTCCGAATTTGCACTCTTTTCCCTAAAGTCCCGTGGAAAGGACACTGTTAAATGTTTACAGATTATAATATAATGAATATCTCAGTTTCCTTAGCTCTGATTTACATATCTCTTTCATTTCTGGAGGAAATAAAGTCCACTTTATTTCAATTTTTACTTTAAAGAGATATGCAAACAGAAAGAATTCTTTAAAAATGCCATAAAGTATGGATTTTTTATGAAATCATTTTTTGTCTATAATATCTATTTATTATAGACATATTTTGGCTACAACTACAGATGGATGATAATTCATGACACAAGCTGTAACAATAGACTACAAATTTTAAAACTGTAGGTTATTTGATATTCAATGGAAATAAAGGTAATCTCCATGTGTATTTGTGTTGTTTATAGAAATTAAACTTACTCTTATAGCCATTTCCGAAAAGCAGACATGAACACAGTGAATGTGGTAAAATGTGAGAAATATCTGTCAGACTTCACTAAGAGCACACTTCTGGCTAACCTGGGACAGTACTTTAAAAATTTCACAGATTCAAAAACCACAAGGAGTAGAGTCAACTCCCACTAGCAACCACTACTGATATGCCTTTCTGGCAGGCCATAATACATTTTGGTAGTCAAAAAACCAACCAATAAATAAAACCAACCAACCAAACAACCAATGCAATAATCTTAGAGGGACAGGCAAACAGATTTCTCCTTGGCAGAGCTAAGACTACACAGATGAGTTAGAAGAAATGGAAAATGGTACAAAGGAGGCCTTCACACCATTTCTGCAGGGCTGGTGCCATTCATGTAGGTAACTTGTTTTATGCTTGGAATAAAAACTGAGTCTGGTAAGTGGCTATCTCTAGAAAATGTGTGGGCTGAAGTGACTTGGATGCTAGGTGTATATAAATCTACTCAGATATGCTGGCCATTGAATGACTACAGTAACTATTCCTTGCTGAAGGAATAGAAAGTAGCATGAAACTCTTTTTATGAGTTCTTAAGTAGAATCTTTTAGCTCATTTATTACACACTAAACCCGACTTCATGACCTCTGGTTAAAGAGAAGGAAGCACTGGCAGTGATGTACAATATGAGGTAACTGCACTGAGAACAAGACTAGTAAGTAGAAACAATGGATAAGTAAAAATAGTTTCCATGAGCCGTAGCCTGGAGTGAATCATCAGGAACTTTACTGAATAGTAATTCTGTCCATACTGGGCACTGCAGGCCCGGCCAGAGCATACATTTTTGGATACCATCCTACCTCAAGTAAAGGAAAAATGATGAAGAAAACCTCAACTAGCTAGATGTTTCTCAACTATTTGAACATAACTGATGGGAAATATCAGATCAAACTATTGTACAACAAAGGAACTCAACACTAATGATATTGCCTAATGATAAAAAAAACTATTAAATTAAGCTAGAGTTTTGGAGACCGACTTAGATCTGGTTTCTTTCTTTCTTTCTTTTTTAATTCATTTATTCCCATGTGCATACATTGTGAATACACTGGTTTCTGTATTTATCATAATTTAGAATAGCTAGATCAATGTTAAATGGGAAGGGACTAACTAGTATTTATCAAGCACCAATTAGGGGGCACTATACACTGAAGTGCTTCACACACATAATGTTATTAAGTCTCACAGTAATCTGAGAAGGTGAACATTGTCAGAAATCTGAGGCTTCAGTGAAATATGCTCAAATGATAACGTGCTTGCTTAACACATGAGAGATTGTGATTAGCCCCCAATTTTTCTCACTTGTACTTCTCTTTGGGAAAGGTTTTATGAATAAAAACTTAATATTTTGCTGTTGCTTCATGTTAGGCTGCAAGCTCCATAAGGGCAGAGCAATGGCTGCTTTCTCCACCAGCAGAATATGAGTCAGTATTTAATGTGAATGACAGCAAGACAGCAGAGTAATATGAATCAACATAGCCCATATTCTCCCATACTGCCAGGCTGCCAGAGTCTGAGGACACTCTGAAATCTCTAAAGAGAAATTTTAAATGCAAACCTTCTAGTCTTGTTTTTAAAATACAGTCTTGTGCTTTTTCCTGGGCTGGTCTTGGATAGTGTCCTTCTCCAACTGCCTTCCATGTAACTGGGATTACCATGCTCAAGCTGTTCTTTGAGATAAAGTTTTGCTAACTATTTTCTGCCTGGGCTGGCCTTGAACTATGATCCTCCTCCTATCTTTGCCTCCTAGATATCTGGGATTACAGGTATGAGCCACTGTACCCAGCCCTATTATTTGAACATTTAATAGGAATTTGTGAGAAAAAAAATAGGGCCACTGTCATGAAAATTTAAGAAATGCAATAAATCCCACATTCCACTCCCCTTTTACCATGTGTTGCAGAAAAGAAACCTGCCTAACTCATTTTTGTCCAAACCAAGCTGACTGGTCATTTAGAATGAATTCTAGCCAGCAAGGCAAATAAAAATAAAAACAGATGGACAGATCTGCTACTATGTTTGAGACTACCCTACTTCTTCTGTGCCTCTGACGTTGGTTTCAAAAGGGCTCCAAGGGCTGCTGGGTTTACCCTCATCTTCCCAGAAGCAAGCATAGGGGAAACAAGGGAACATAACTTTTCCCTTAAGAAGGGAGTAAGTATGATGTTTCATCAGAAATCCGAGTCTGAGAAGAGAGAGGACAGAGTAAGATTGTACCTGGGGCATAGTGCTAGGTCCTCATCTGCCTCTGAATTCCCCACTCCCAGCACACTTACTTCACTCTTTTTCTCATTGTTCTTTTACACAGCCAGGCCTGAGGTAACTCA